CAAATAATGGAGGATCAAATGGAAAAATGGAGAGTGAAATGGAAAGCTGGGTTTATGTAGGGATTGGGGGTTCCCTATATCAGGGGTACCCTTTTCATGGTCATTACAAGAAGGATTATAGTATTTAGGGGTCTACATTGGGGTCCCCCTATGCAAGGAAACTACCAAAGGACCAAAAAAATATCTGCTGGGGTAATGTGAACCGTCTCTAAACCACCCAAAGTGTGTGTAATACGCAGCCTATTCTTTGAAGCCCGCTGACTGTGGCTGTGTTGCGCAAAGCCTCCAGCAGCAACGGTCCAACTCCATCAGACTGCTAACCACCCTCACATCACATGGGCTATTCTAAAAGTTATGAGCCCCTTTTGGTTATGAAGTAGGTTACGGCGCCTAATTTGAAGGGGTACCAAAATGAGCGCTAGTTTGGGAACTACCCAAATGCTTCTACTTCTTGGGTCCAGGCCATCCAACTGCGCTCTCCTGCCAAGTGCAGGTCTCACTAAGCCATGTCACCCAACCAAGCTTGAAAGTAGGGCTGGCTTTCTGGGGGCTTGTGGCAAACCACCACGCGGCGACCTCCCGGTCACCAATCCCGAAAGAACACGTTCAACAATAAGACTTGGTCTGTCCTGTTTTGGCGGGTGCTAGCCATTCGCTTGAGAAAGTCGGCCTTCACGCGCTGAAAGTGGAGAAAGTGGTCAAAGGCCTGGCATAGAGATGGCTCTGCAACAAGGCGATCACATCACAAACAACGATAACTTGAGCAAATAAAGTACTGTCAGCATCTACAGACTTCGTCAGTAAGTGCCGCTTGCCCCGACCAATTGCTGTCCTCCGAGCCTCTAGGGTAGTTTCCCAACAGAGGGGGAACCCCAAGATGGACTCCCAATTACTATAACCCCTATTCTAAGGACCCCCATAAAGGTACCTCTCATTTTGGGAAACACCCCTATGGTTGAGAGGAAGGACTTGATAGGGAGGGAGATCTGCTCACTCCCCGAGCCTTAGACCCAATATAACCTATTATAGTAGTTTCCATTTTCATCCCCCCTATCTATCCCAAATAGAAGTTTTCCTGATGTGGCAAATTCTCTCGTTCCCCTGCTTGGAGCTGCTCTCTTGCTACGCAAGAGACAGGCAGAATGCATCTCTCTTCACGGTTTAGCCTCGCCTCGTAGGATGTATGGTCTACACTCCACTAAAAAGCGGGTTAGATAGGGGGGACAATTCTAGGGGTTATTAAGGGGGGTATGAGGAGTTTAGGCTGAAGCTCCTATGATGAATTACTTGTTATCGCTTGAAAGAAAGGCTTTTGGGCAGCTTCAGATCAGAGGTTGTCAAGGGAGGCTTGGCAACATATTTCACTGCTTGACTCGCAAAGGCTCGCTGCCCTGGAGTCAAGGACTAGCCGCAAAGCAGCACCAAATAAGCCTTAAATTGGTGGCCACACACTCCCCATTTCCTTTGAGGATATCGGGTGGTGTAACCTGAAACATGCAGCAACATACTGCTGCATCCAACTTGTAAGCTCGCGGACTCGAGTTCTTTGGTCTGCGTGGCTGGAACGGAAACAATTCAAAGTAGGGCTGGAAGAGACTGTTGAGTCGTGCAGCCAGCCTTCTTGATAGTGGCCGCAGCCGGGGCTTTCACAAAATCTTCGGCTTCCTGAACATAGGTCAGGTGGCCATTCAAACAACTGCCCCCAGAATTACAAAATCCAATGCCAGCAGCTGCAGCTGGCGTAGCATCTTATGGGAGTGTTAAGAAAATGTCTTCGCGCATCATGATTTTAAATCACTTGTAGCTGATACCTCTAGTTGACTGACACACGTAAGGGAAATTTGCAGCTATCTCAAGTGTCTCCAGTACATAGCCAGTGAAAGCCAAAGCCGCTAAGGTAATCTGTTTTGTCCTTTTGGGCACGTTGTTCGACCTTCTCTGTTTAATCAGTTGCCAGAGTTATCCTGCATAGGGATCGCAGATCTCCTGAGACCATCTACGCCAAATGCAGGTAAGGCCTGTGACCTGCACCTGGACACTTCGTGTCAGCAAGCAGCAGGGCACAGCTTGAAAATTCTAAATTGCAGCAGCGGCTTGGTGCGCTCCGCATTCCAATGGCACAAATATGCATCAAGATTATCAGGCCTGAGGCTGATCATCTACTTGGCTCTCCGCAACGATGGAACCTTGGGCTTATCAAATGCGCTTGCACTAGACCCGAACATAATCATGCAGCTGCCGTGGTGTTCTGACAATGGCTGAATGCTTTTTCCTCGGGAAAGTGTCCATGGAAGGCCTCGGGGCCCAGCTCTGCACGAGACGAGGGTATGCAAGGCTCGGAAAAGGATCTTTGTTCTGACTTGAGATGGGCAGCATTCGCTGAAAAGGTTGGCTTGACTTGCCTCTGGCATAGAGCTCTGCATTGAAGAAGCTCCAATTCGGGAAGTTACTGCTGAAGTGTAGCTGGAGAAGCCCCTCTTCTTCTGCATCTTGGCTACCCTCCTTGGTGAACAGTACAACTGAAGTGCCAACGAGGGTTTCTGAGATCTGTTGGCTCGTGCGGAATTATAATATAAAGTAACCTGTCAATAAACGGGACAGCCCTCTGCTGTATCTGTGTTATTCTGTGTTTGCAACGGCTGTCCAGATTTTGCTCAGTGTTGTAATCATCAGCATGGTGCTTGGCACCTGCACTTCGAAGCACTAGCCAAACAGGATCATCTCCTACAGCCTGTTGACTTCATGGTTGTTATTCTTAGTAGGGAATCAGGGAATATTATCCGTATACCATCCCCGTATAATACATTCCCTGATTCCCTGCTAGGCCACAGTGAGGTTGAGTGCAATTTGGAGCAACTTATCAGTTCCAAGCTGATCGCCACAAGGATGAGCGTCTTAGCTTGAACCTACGAAAGGTATTTCCAAAACAAATCGTGAATTGACTTCTTTCCAACCGCCAAAGATTCAAGAGCGATTTGTTGAATTTCTTCACCAAGCGGTCCAACCTCCCAGAGCCAACATTTCATCAAATGGCTTGCCACGTGACTTCCACGGCGGCTTCACAAGATTCCTAGCATCCTACCAGTCCTTCAGTGGATCGGTTTGCCAGTTCCTCAAGCACAGGCTTGGCCCCTCAGCCCGGCCTCACATCATCAGTTACTTCTTCTGGGACTTCTTCCTTTGGCCACTGCATAGAGGCCTCCGTGGAGCCACCAAACCTGCGCAAGTCTGTCAGGGACTCACTCAAATGGTTCCTAGGTAGTAACCTGAGAAGTGTGGAGGTGTTCTTCTGCTCCTAACACCCTGGCAGGCTTGCTTCAAAAGCTACGTTCCATAGAACATGAAAGGCCTGAAAACAACAACTGTCTCTGGTTACCAGCTCCTGTTCGCCGCCGGCACGCCTGAGGATGCTCTCCTGGTTCTGCGGATGCAGGGAGGCGCTCTCCATGATTTGCACACCCCCGGGCAGACCGATGTCACCTTCCCCAAACCTCAAATCACCAACGCATTTTCACAGACAGACTTGCCAGGGTTTCGGCTTGGGCGAGCCTGGTAAGCCTTCTGATTTACCGAAAGCAGGGGAACTCAGCAACTTCAAGTCAAGGAGCTCAAGCGGCTCATCCAAGACGAGGCTGTCCACAAACTGCTGGAAGTTGCGCCTGAATGATCCCTCAGCCAGTGTCAGCGTGCTTGAGCAGCAAACTGCAATTTGAAGGCCTGCGGAGTGTCTGCATTGTGTCAATGGTGATTTGCATCCGCCTGTTACAAAGCAATGCAAAAACTGCAAAGCTGGCATGCCGCTTGTCAATGGCCTCAGGATGGAAAAGCCAACCATGCTATCATAGATCTCCTGATGGGCACAGGTGAGCTGCGCCACAAATATGTTGAAGGCGCCGAACACGACCTCAAGGGCTTAGCCCGGTTAAGCGTCTGTATTTCTGTACCAACTACATTACTCTGCGGTGCAGGCTTGCAGCTCAGGCACAGCGATCACAAACAAACCAAGCGCAACCATGAGCAAAGGAAACGTGGAGAACTCGGGCATTCCTGCTGGTATGAAACATGTTGCTTGGCTTCAATGACAAGCGCAGGTTTATCATCATTGACGTCATTGCACGCCACCGCCCGCGGGCACGAGGGCGGGTTTCTCATAGTGGGCTTCGAGCACTTGAGTTCAAACAGCACTTTCCTGAATCTTGGGGAGACATGTTCATCCTCGAGCTTGTTGTTTCACAAATCATGCAAGAACTTGCAAGGCATTCCCTTTCAATCATGATCTTCCATCTTAATGACAGGAAATGCTTCCGTGGAAGTTGTGCTCTTGCCTGACACAGGAGAAGCTGCGGGGCCTCGGTTGTCTTGCATCTTTGTCGCAATCTGGAAGAAGCGAAGGCCAGCGCTCGGCATGTCTTTGAAAGCTTCGACTCAGGTTGACGAGAGGTTGCGGGAATCCACAGGGGGAAACTGACAATATGTTTCTTATTCCACCAAAATCCCCACCCCCTTAGGGGTGGGGGGGGGGTCCAAAATGTATCCTACATTTTCCACACCCTTTGGGGGGGTGAGTAGGCTAATTGTAGGATCTCCACTTTCTCACTACCCATATACTACCATGAACTAATGAAACTGGAAAGTAGCATGCAGGCATGAGCAACTGAGTTGACATGTCAAACTGCTTCAGCGCTTGCTCTGCTTTCTCCTCCTCTGGGTTGGCGGCGTCGTCCACCAGGACTTCAGCCCACTCTCCGAAGCACTGCTCCTCCTCAGCATCCAGGTCGTCCTGATGTTGTTGGGTGATTTTGGGTGGTTACGTGACAGTACGTGAGCTCTAGTGAACACTGCATATCCTCCTGCCAGCCATCAGCCCTGCGGTTGATTGTGAGGAACGCCACTCCCTCGACCTTGTACCAGTGTAGGAGGTCCTGCTTGATGTTTGCCGCCGTCCTGGCCTTGGATATCGCGCTCTGGAAAGAACAAGCAGCCTGCAGGCACTGCTGGCTCAACTCCCCGGCTGTAAAGCTGTCCACTGCCTGACCTGGCTTGACATCAGGCCAGCGGTACTTTTTGGCCTCCGCCATGGAACGGAGATTGTGGAGATGATTCCCGAAGATTGCATCTCGAACTGAGGGCGTTCCCCTCCAGGATGCCTTCACAGATGAGAAGTGCGTTTCTGCGAAGCGTTCACACCTCGAAGACAACTTCCATGGCAGGTCAGCACAGGTGAACATGCACGAGAGCATGGCGTGGCTCATGAGATGCAGGCAGTTCCTCAATGTCGGCCCCGGCAAGGTTCTCTCCTTCCAGTGCTCCCCGCGCACGCGCTTGCCCTCGCTCAGATGGAGCAGCAACATGTAATAGCACGTGCACGCGTTGGTGAATGTCACCTTCGGTGTGAGATCCGCGTTCCACACTGCGCTCATCAAGTTACCGATGAACATGTAGATGATCGGACCGTGCGACATCCAGTTGTTGCTCAGGTATCGGTGACATAGGCGCTGGCAGCTTGCTTTGTCACTCTGAGGGTCGCGGCAGCAGAATGCGGATATGGGAAGCTTTTGGGAAAACATATCCATGGCGTCCATGGCAAACCTGAATGCTTGGCATCCACGCTTAGAGGATCTTAGATGATCTTAGACTATCTTAGTAGAGGTAGTTAAAGCATGTCACAACTGCTAGCTAAGATTGACTAGACTGGAAAAATCTGGAACGCCTGAAGATGCATGAAGATCCTAGTTGCAGGCCGTGGTGGATTGTCCTTTTCCCGGATAAATGCTGGAGAGTGTAGTTCTTGATGGTGTGGTGGCGGTCGTTGCACCCGGTCACGAACCACTTGCCTCCGTAGCGCAGGCACGCAAAGGGAAACAACTTGATCTCGGGCGCGGCCCGCGTTTGGCAGCCATCAAGAACGGGTGCTGCGCCAGCTCCTCTGAGTCCAGCAGGCCTAGCAAGCCCAAGTTCAAAAGGCGATTGGAGAGCCCATTGTCGAAGGAAATCGACAAAGGCGGTATTCCCGACCCTGTCTGGATGAAGGACTGCATGACTTTGCCAACCAGCGTCATGAACAGCGAGCCCTTACCCTCACCTGGCAGCAGAGGCACGAAGCAGCAGTCAAACGTCAAGTGGTTGCAGTCGTGTCGGCTGACAATCACGGAAACGGAGAGTCTGCTGAGATTGCACTCTTCCCTTGGCTCCTGTTTGCTGAGCACGGTGCAGTTGTTGTCCAGGCTGAAGCCACCGCCAACTATTGACAAGGCCTCGCCCTTGTCACCTTGCAGACGCGACACGGCCTCCCAACCAACTCTCCAGTATGTCTCGTCGATGGACAAAGCAAGGAGGCGACGCTCGCCTGTAGACCCAAGGATACCTCGCAGCATGCTGCATGACTCCTGCATTGTAGATGGGCTCAGGTTAGTCATGAAGAACTTGGGCACCAGCGGGTCGGTGAAGTCAATCGCGGGATGGCCGCCCTTCGTGTTCACGTGGAACATCTGGAGCATGTCCAAAGCCTCCGAGGACCTGCCCAAGGTAGACATCAGCTCCATGCGCACCTCTGGATCCAAGGACTTGCCAGGTCGGGACAGACATCCTCGCTCGATTTTCCGTTCAGCGTGTATGAACGTTTTGACCAAGGCGTGTACGGCACGATGTTTCTGCAGCTGACCTGTGGCTACCCAGCTTGCTATCTGCAGGTCTTCATGCGCGGTCTCGCCAGACTCCAGCACGTGCCCCAAACGCTGGCAGAGGCTTTCATAGGCCTCTTGCTCAGCATCGTTCGTATCCAGCAGGGTCAGGCCATTCACATGCCGCGACATGAAGTTACGAATCTTCTGAGTCAACATGTGATGTGGATGGCATATCCACTGCCGAAGGCACCGATCGTGCAAGGAGTCGATGCTCAGAGTGTTCAGCAGCTCGACGCACCTCTCGACCTCCTTCTTGCACTTTGAGCTGAAGCGCGCATAGGGAGCGGACAGCATCTCCTCCAGGAACGGCCCCACCTTGGTCCTCTCGTACACGCTCAAGTACAGCAGCGTAGCTTGATCCAATCGCCGGCACCAGGTAGCTATGGCCTCCAGCATTGTCTTGTTGGAAGTCAAGCTTCGACAATCCCCACAAAGCCCATCCCAGCAATCTGGCTGCTGGCATCTCTTGTGCTTGAGCACGACAGATTGCCCTGAGAGCGTGATGACAAGACAGTGCAGCGCACCGGTGCCAGGCGCACTCTCGCTCTGGAACTGTAACATGTCGTTCGCGATCCATTGTTGCACAGACTCCTGCGATCAAAGGGCATGCATGAGCGGCAACACTCTACGTGACTAACCTTGACTGACATTCTAAAAGGGACTTACATACACTTGCATATACTTACATAATCTTACATAGTCTAGCATCTCCCAAACGCACGGCTCCTTCATTCTCCCAAGATCCCCTGCGGCATCCTCCAGCTGTAGGCCTTGGCAGCGCTTCCGCTGCTCCTGCACCATGGGCTGGGGACCTGAAGATCGTAGGTTCTGAAGGCCACGTTGGTGTTTCTGGTACGACTCGTGCTCGTCCAGGAAGGCTTTTGCAGAGAGCGAAGTGCGCACGAAATACACTTCGTGGTTGCACGCCAGACAGAGATACCGAGGCCCGTCTATGTGCCTGTAGATGTCACCTCGGTTGGCCTGAACCCATGGAAGCAGCTGCGGCACTGCCTGCCCAGCCTTCGGACGCCCCCGCCTGCGCGGAGCGACGTCCGCACTCACGACTGCATTAGCTGGGGGATCCGGCGCTGTGTTCTCCAGGTCCTGAGGTCGCTGGTGCTGATCACGGATTTCCTTGCACGCCGGGCACTTCATTTTCCTCGATAGAGGAACTTCAAGAACTGCCTCCAGTGTCCGGGCTTGATCGGCAACATCATCGCTGCGTGGGAGCGTTGGAACACCTTGCTGAAGTCGATCCCCAACTCTGTGGCCTTCTGTAAGCCCAAGGCTTCGGGGTTGGGCTTCGCTGGCTGCTTCCGTTTCCGCGGCTGCGTCGGCTTTGCCTCCTCACTGCCATCATCCGCCACCAACGTGCTGCCCTTCACGGGAACCAACAGGCCAAAGTGGTCATGGGCTGACTGACCAAAGCTCTCCGCAAGCTGCATGGCTGCTGGCCTTGGTGGGGCTGGCGAGGCCTCCTCCTCTGCGCACATGGCCTGCAGGGCCTCGTCGCTGTGAACATCCAGGGGAAGGCGCGGAGGCCACTTGAGCTCCTCCTTCTTCCAGGCGGCCAGGATGGCATCCAGCGTGCAAAGCAGACGGTGTCCGCAGCTCCACGCGTCATCTTGATCCGCCACGCAAAGCTTGTAGTCTGCATGGTGCGCCTGCCCCGCAAGCCGGAGAAAGCGCTCAGCTTCCTTCACGATGGTGGGCCTCTGGAGCCCATCATAAAGCCAGCACTGCGCCCGACCACGCTGCAGCATCAAGAGCCCCCAGTGAGTGTCGTCACACACGACCGCTGCAACGAGTTTTGCATGGTGATGCAGCTTGAGTCTCTGCTGCTTCTCCTCGGCGCTTCCCAAAGCCAAGCACACCTGCAGCGGCCACTTGGGCCCTAGATACTCATCCGCCAGCTGCGTAGCTCCGCGAAGCATTGATCCCCAACTCGTCTGGGCCCCGTACACCACCTGCAGTCAGGGAGTGGACAGTTGATGACACGTCATAACGTGCTGCGAGCATGAGCAAGATGTATGCATCGCCACACCTGCCTCGCACTCAACAGGATAAGGCGACAGGATCTGCTGCACCATGTCTTCACAAAGGGCTACGTCATCTAAAGCTGCAGGAGCTGGCTGCTCTGCGAGGACCTCCGCCTTCTCGCACTTGGCGCTTGATTTCCGGACGTCGTCGTAGCTGTGCCCAAGACTGTCTGGCGTTGCCCGACTCAGAACATCCAAAAGACCGTTGAGCTCTGCTGAGCAAGCTGCTCGGCGAGCTCTCAGCTCCTCCAAGGGCAGGGCCTCACACGGGAACAACAGCGGTGAGACCTCCAGCTCGTCCAGCTGGCACCCACTCGCACGTTGCAGGAAGGCAGCGCAATCGTCCTGAATCAGTGCAGCCTTTTGCTGCTGCGGCAATGCCTCCCACGAGGCCTGGGTCCCACCGCTGGAACGGTGGCACACATAGGCTGACGCCTCCTTGCAAGACAACTCGAGTACACCCTCGTACATGTTCTGCGGGAGCTGGGTCCTGAGTGAGCGATAGTCAGTGATGCTTCAGACACAAGAACGGCATCCAGCACGGCAACATCAGCATCCTCTCAAACAAATGCAGGCATGCGACAAACATCGCCCTTGCCACTGTATGGCAACTCCGCTCTCGTGAAGCTCATGCGATATGGCATCTCGGAACACCATCCACGGGCGCCGCACAGATGAAGGTAGATGGTAGCACGAGACTCC